TTTTATTTTATTTTATTTTATTTTATTTTATTTTATTTTATTTTATTTTATTTTATAATTTTACTCTATTATAATGATGCTGTTTTAGATAACTGACGTACAAGTAGAGCTGGAACCAGACGACAATAACGGCATCAAGGATTATAACAATGCTTCCTCGCTATGTAACCACAAAGACAAGCAATGCGTTGGGTTCGTGTCTCGGAAGTCACGTGACTTGACTACGTACTATTTGGTTCTTATGTTACCAAGGAGACTGAGAAGAGGCGTCAGTACGTTATATTTGAAGAACAGGAATGTGCGAGATATATGTAAGAATAAAACTGAATTATGTCCATTCAAATATTTATTTTCAACTAATTGCCACGCCTGGTGTGCGACAATATGCTGCATTGGTGCATCTCAACTCGATTGTCCTGCCCTGCGCTGCCCTGCCCTGCCCTGCCCTGCCCTGCCCTGCCCTAGCCTATTCTATACCCACCCTACCCTACTCTACTCTACCTTACCCAATGTAAAGACATTTTGACTATATTTCCTTGCCTTCCAGCTTTTCTCGAGGGACATCTACAATGCGCTGTGCCAATAGAAGAAATGAAAGCAGCCAGTCCCTCGTCGCCCAGCTGCAAGCTTCCTGACCTCAACCCGTGGGACGAAAGCATCCGTGAATACATCGTGCCCAAAGATCCGATGAAATGTTACGGCAAATTATTCACGAGTTACCATGGCAACACGCTCAAGTTTGTTCGCCCTCAAGGTGTGGTAAATATTAGTACGGTCGGGGAGGGGCAGGGGGCAAGAAGTATTTATTTAATGGCGCAATCCACCCCTGATTCCCTCACAAGAGCAGATTCATATCAATATGAAAAGCGCACGGTACGAACGCGCCGTGCCGTGCCGTGATCGTGACTCTGATTGGATAGGCGGTGATTTCGCGCGATGCGATTAATTATGTGTTTTGTCCCCATCAGATAAGCACAGCATTAAGCGGATTACATACCAGACGATCAAGAGATCCGATGACGATGTTGGCTACGAAAATGGAGAACAAAAAAGTCTAAAGCTTCATGGTAAAGGGGTGAACTTGACGGAGGATTTCGTACAGGTAGTTGAAATATGTTTTTAGTTGTTATTTTGTGCTAAAAAAATCAATTTCTGTCTCCCCCTGCCTCCTCGGAATAGGACCCGAAACCCCAGAGATGAGAGGGAGTGCAGTACTACTAGGCCACCCTTGATTTCCTAAAAGTAATAGAATACACGCGTTTGGCATATTTTAACCTCATTATATATTTTTTCTATCCTATCTCCAGGTTACAACATATCTTAAAGACGGTGATTCCCAGACTGACTACCACGCCAGTGTGGTGGCAAAACCCGAGGTGTTGAGAAGACCAAGAAAAGACACAGGGTTACCACTAAACATCATCATGCTTGGTCTAGATGGCAACTCAGACGCGAACTTCCAGCGATTTCTACCCGATGCGTTTAAATTCCTTAAAGATGATTTAAAGGCGTTCATTTTCAAGGGGTTTTCTTTATTGGGCGAGGCCACTACTCCTCAACTTACTGGCCTGTTGACTGGCAAATCGGTCGAGGATAATTGCGCCGTGCATGAGGCAAGGAAGGGAAAGACTGATGATGGAACAGTGGATAAATGGCCGTTTATTTTCAAAACTTTGAAAGAACATGGGTATGCTACCATGTTTAGTGAAGATGCCCCGAATATTGGTCAGTAAAGAATCTTGTCCGTTATATAATGTAAAAACGCATACGCTTTGAATCATGTCGCTATTGGAGTGCCTGAAGGATCGGGATTAGGACCCCTAACTTAATCATTATTTCAAAATTTTATTCACCAGTAAAAAATTAAAGGATGATATTTTTAATGGATGGAAAATCACTCCTCACTGCTTCGAAATATGTCGCCCTTGGAGTGCCTCAAGGATCGGTGTTGGGACCCTTATCTTAATCATACTTAGAAATTAAAGTCAAAAGTAAAATATTAAAATTAAAATAATTCCTTCTCTCTGTCTTCGAACTTAGTCCCTTTTAATCCTGGATTATTGAGTGTCAGACATTAGTTTATCTAAACACGTATCATAGAGGAGCTGTCGCTCGTTAATACATGAACGTGTAAATGTTGATGTTGGTTAAATGTTGATGGGAACTTTGGCTGCTCCCAGCTTTAGAAATTATTGTGTTTTTCACCGACTAATTAACCGCGGAACTTGTCTCTCCCCAGGTGCGTTTCATCTGAGGCTAAACGGCTTCAAAACCCAGCCTTGTGACCACTACGGCCGTTATTTCTGGTGGGCAGTACCCTATGATGATGCGATGGGAGTCCACGAAGACTGCATCAACTCACAACCGCAACACGTCATGCAACTGCAATATCTTCGTAGCTTTATCAAAGCATACCCCAAAACACCGAAGTTTGGCTTTACCTTTCTGGGAAGCCTTTGTCATAAGAGTTTCAATATGGTCAGTAGTGGCGCTAAGGATGTCTATGAATTCTTGAAATCTTTAAAAAAAGACAAGCACCTTGATAATACAATGTTAATCGTTTTTGGCGACCACGGCGCCCGGTTTGATGAGATACGGTCAACTTTACAAGGAAAACTGGAGGAGAGGCTGCCATTCTTGTCTATCGCTCTTCCCCAGTGGTTTCGAGAAAAACATCCAAACTTCGTTAAACATCTTCAGCAGAACACTCGTCGAATTATCTCTCCGTTAGATCTGCATGCAACATTTATGCACGTCTTAAAATACCCGGAAAACCCTTCCAAGTCTTCTCTTACTAAAGGTTCCAGCCTGTTTGAGGCGCTGCCCGAAAACCGCGAGTGCAAAGATGCTGGCATACCATCTCATTTTTGCCCGTGTATTTTATGGAAACCGATTCCAACGACGCATAGTCATGTTGAAATTGGTGCGCATTTGACTGTTGCGCACATTAACGACTTGCTTACGAAGGATTCGTCTGTAAAACATATGTGCCATAAACTACGATTAGACAAAATTGTTAGTGCAGTTCAAGGAATGCCAAATAGGAATGTTCAGCTTTTCAAGGGGATCAAAGATGGAATCGGCCTCGGCGTCGGTGAACCGATTTACAATGATCAAAGTCAACCGTTACAATGTACCTATGATATACAGCTGAGAGTTCGACCTAGTATGGCGCTATTTGAAGCAACTGTTAAGATTATTGACGGGAAATTTGTTGTCAATGGAGACATTAGTCGTGTGAATCGCTACGGTACTCAGTCGGAATGCGTCGTAAAGTCGCATCCGTCATTGAGAAAATTTTGCCTTTGTAGACACTAATGCTTGCGAATGTTTCGTTATATTTCCTATATTTCACTTAAGCAAAGAGAAAAAATGCTGGCGGCCATATTGGTGGCAAACCAAATAAGGTCCGAATAAACTACCTCCAATATGGATTAGATCTAGATAACGCTACCTCCAACATAGCCTGCGTGCAGCCGGACTTTTCTCTCGGACTTAACAGTTAGTTAGTTCGGCTGCACGCAGGCTACCTCCAACATGGCTCACTCGCGTTAAAGAAAACAAATTCCATAACTTTCAGAAGAGGGTTCGGCATCAGCTATGTTATATTTTAGCAGAAGAACGGGCTTTTCTCTTCTCAGTGGTCGAAATAATCATTTCAATATTTTATCGTGCTGTCATCCAACATGGATGCTGTCACGTGATCGTTGAGCCAAGTAGTTTTACGCTCAAGAAGGTCAAGATCACGAGTCCTGGAGGGGGAGGTGTTAGAACAATCGTTTCAATTATAGGAATGTAGAATCATTTTAAAGATTTTATATTTTTACCAATTTTTACAATTACGAATTCTACGATCATACTGTGATCATTCGAAGAATATTTTTCAAATATACTTAAATTTTTAATTGCAATTTAGAATTTTCCAGGTCTGCATCCTAAATTAGGCAACTTTATTCAATTGTAAAATAAAATCAACCATACTCTCAAGGAAGGGCACTGGCGATATTCCGGCATAACTTTATCAAAATAATATATTCCTTTTAGAATCTATATTTATGGAAACATTGAAATCTTATCTTAAGAATTATATAAATAAACTCTGAATTACAATTCTAACTGTCTAGAATATTTTTTTACGCCTGTAGAAGTGGAAGGACGATGATGCCGTTAGTTTTTTGTATCAAGCTTTATTTGATTCTGGGTTACGGTCTTTGTTTAGGAGGATAGCTCCAAATTCGTTATCCTTGGCTATTGTTTTATTGTCTTCATGCCGCACCAAGAACAACAACAACGCCAAGAAAGAGCCAGCCAATAGTTTTATTGGACCCTGAATCAACCCATGGGCTTATCAAATTCAGGGTACGGCCAACTCGCTGATCAACTTGGGATATGGGTGGGCTACCTGTGCTCGATCCGGAATAGATAAAAAGAACTGGGATCCCTGTGGAAAGGAGATCATTGATGTCCTTACACGTAAGGTTGAAGTTTGGGTAATTGCCATGGCAATACGGTTGAATACTTGGAGTCTTATCGTTGTTAGACTAGACGCCCCCACAACCCGCCAACTGTAGCTGTAGGCTCGACGCGCACTGTGATTGTCGGGCAAAGTTCATAAAAATTTGGGAACCATAGAGTTATAAGCGATTTCTACAACCCCTGAAGAAAAGATTTTGAAAAAAACTTCAAAGTATTTCTTCATTAGCATGATTTCAAAGTTTCGTATGTGTTTTTCATAGTGCGCGCAAAATCTTGCCCGAAAATGTGTCGTGATACTTCAGTCGGATACTGAGTCGCATCTTGGTGAAGAATATTGTGCACCGCTGAGATTTTTGCCGCTCGCAGGCAGCGGAGAACTAGTAACTAATGACTTAGGGCGCATGTGCTGTTAGAGTTTAATGGTGCCTTATTACCTTCTACAACAAAATCTATTAGTAGCTAGATAATTTTAGTCCTGCTTTTCCAAAATACGAATATCCTTCAGAGATCTTGAGATGGTCTGAGTAGTTTTCAATTATTATCTATTTTTGCTATTTTTTCATAATTTCGTTGCATTATTGAGTAGCTATTATGGAGAAAGTCGAAAAAAATCATCAGATTAAACAACCAATAGAGAGCCAGCTTCTTGGCAGGTTTCACGGCCTTGTTTTACTCAACGGGAGAGAGCAAAGCAAGAAGTGRGCTAGGATTCACCAATGTTTATACGAATTTTATGCCGCTATGGCTTCCCCTAAAGGCCCAGGTTCAGAACTGAAGCAGCATTTTGTCACCAAGGAAGGTGTCTATAAGCTCATGACGTTATCTGAGTATTCTAGGCCGAATAAAATGCCGTATTCAGCTCAACAATGTCACCCTGTGAAAGTATCCTTCGTCACAGTCAAAGAACCCGGAGGATGCAATGACCGTATTGCCTTCAACGTTGGTAGAGACTTGTATTTTTATATTTATAAAGGAGTAAGAAAGGTAAGTAACTAACGAACAACGGCCCAGTTTTCCTGGTGCTTGTAAATGGACTCGGAAATTTTGACCAACACTTCGGCACTTCCTGCAGATAGACGAAGCTTAGCTTGCAAATATTATTTATTAATTCAGTCGAGCATTCTTTCCCATTTTGTGTTTTTAGTCAGCTAGACATCTTTATCAATTAATAAATTTTTTAGTCCAATCATTCATTTACCTTAGTCACGATTTAGTTTTTCTAAGGCAAATATTTTGAAGTTATAAAACTTAGATCTCTGAGATCAGGTCGCGTATTTATTCCGCTTCGTTCAGATTTTTCACACCATCGTAAACTTATTATCATGATTCCCTATTTTAAGATCTTTTATTCAGATTCAGCTTGGATTGAAAAGAAATATCTCTTTGAGCAAAGATTTACCGGATAATTTTAGAGTGTGTTTGATATTCGATTATACAGCTACTAAACGAGAATCCTCTTCTTTCAAAGACCAAAAAAAAAAAAGCCTAAAACAAAAAGGAGTTAGTATATGAAGAATAAAATGCTGGATGTTTTTTCCTTCGTTCGTATTTTGAAACTACGATGAGAAAACCTTGTTGAAAATCAATGCAGTTTATATATCATTCCGCTTTCATTTTAAACCACTGTCACCTCTGAGAATAGCATTATTGAAATAGACGATCGAAGGGGTTGGTTTAAATATTAGCTCTCTTTACACCTGGCATCAAATGATGACCACTCACTGTGAAAAAAAGCCCGATCTTCCAGTTTATTATTACTGTCATTGCTTACCAAAAAATACAACTACATTCCAAATACATTTTACTGATATTTAGTGCTCTAGTTTTTTAATTCATCAACCATGGTTGAAGTACGATATGTAATGTTTAGTAAACACGTATCTTTATAATTTAGATGTTTGATTTCATATCATAATTATGAACTTAGAACTAGATCTCTGTACAGATATGTAGTTGCCCAAGGCTAGAAAAGAAAGTTGACCAGCTTGCTGTGGTCCACTCGAGTTATTAGCATACATAAACACAGAAATGCTTGAATCACTTAACTTAATTAGTTTCATTATATAAACAGCTTTAATGCCGAATTATCTGTTATCCAGATTGCATATAAAGACAAAAGCATCCCCAAAAATATATTCTTATGAAGATCTCTGTTGGAGTGGAATAAGAATTATTTGAAGTAGCCATTGAAAAAATTAAAAATCCATGGCCTTAAGGAGAAATGCTTTTAGGCTCCTGCACTTGTTTAATAGTTTTCCATCCTGTTTTATTCTTTACTTTATTTTTTTTAGGGAATAACTTTTGTTTTCGTTTCTGTAATGCACTCAATTTACTAGTCCTAAGCTGTTGATATATTTAACAAATTTTAGACTTGAAGCCCAAATGGTCTACTAGTCAATAGTCCATGAGGCTGCATGTAGATTCTGATTGCCAGAGGTCTTATTTTTTTAGTCTAAACCTTAAATCTGGTCTAAAAATGCTAAAGCGAATTTTGGGAATTATGTTAAAAACACGATAGGTACTATTTTTTTGGTTATCAAATCCAGCCCTTTTTGCTACTCATGGTCCTATCACTAAAAGACCACTAGTAGCTTAGCCAATCAGAGGGCATGATTTGTGATAGACCATAAGTAGATTTCCATGCACACTAAATGGACTTATTATGAGTAATACTATTATGTTGGTTATGTTTTCACATCACACTCGAATTGATAACTATGTTAGTATCTTTTATATATTTGTGGCATACCACATGAATATTCTCATGCTGAGGGACAATCATCTCAAACAAAAATACTTTATAAATTTATAAATTTAGTTTACTGCTACTTTAATAATTTTGTCAAAACTGAATTGCATAGAAAGAAATTGCCAGACCTGCTAAGCATTGTGCTTCTCTCATGTTCTTGTAATCCCACCTTTATACATGTATCTGCACACAGCACATGCATGCATTTCGTATTTCTTCATTATATTGGACTTCTTATATTTTTTAGGCTGCAGACCTAACCAAACCACTTGATAAAAGAGTTTACAAAGGCACAATCCCCACCTGCCATGACTTTAATCTACTGACGAGAAGTTCTGAGAGCTTAGAATTGTTAATAGGTTTTTCTGCTGGACAGGTTCAATTGTTAGATCCCATTAGACATGAAGTTAATAAACTTTTCAATGAAGAGGTAAGTGGTTTGTCTAATGGTACCTCTATAGGCCCTTTGCAGTTAATGGTCACGTGCCTGTACTGGTGAGCAAAATTTTTTATTTTATTTTAAATCGGTGATTCTTTTTAGCTACTTGTGAAGAACTGAATGAAACAATGTGTAACCAGTGTGTTACGAAATGCAGTTCTATTACGATCTCTCGAAACAGATTGTAGAAATTTTGTTTGCTCACCAGTATTTTTCACCCATGGGAATCAAGATGTTCATTCATTTGCTCTCAGTGAATTAATGAGCATGTGATTATTGAGCTGCAAAGGGCCTAATAAGTGACCATCTATTTAGCAACCAGTTGTCAATTAAGAAGCATGGGCAACACAGGCGGCGATGTGGTGATAGTGCTCACCTGTTAACATTGGGACCTGATTTTGATTCTAGGACTTAGTGTCATACCTTAGGAGAGGTTCTAGTTGGTTCTCTCCTGCGCTTCGAGAATTTTTTCCAGGGTCCACAATTTTTCCTCCCTCTGCGAAGTCATTTTCTAAATTCCAGGGCCACAGGTTTTTTATACCTCTATTAAGCTGCCAGCCTCTATTTACCAGCCAGTCAGTTTTTAAAGAACTTCATATCCTAATAATGCAAATTTTCATTACTTTTACAGCGTACTGTAGACAAGACAAAAGTCACTTGCATAAAATGGATTCCTGGTTCAGAAAACTTGTTTTTAGTGTCGCACGAGAGCAGTAATATGTACGTTTACAATAAAGAAAATCCCGCAGGAACTGGACCGCCGCAATATGCTTTAATGAAACAAGGACCTGGCTACACAGTTCACAGTGGAAAATCAAAAACCACAAGAAATCCTGTTTGTAAATGGACAGTAGGTGAATTTGGAATCAATGAATTCTCTTTTTCTCCGGACTGTAAGCATTTAGCTATAGCAACTCAAGATGGTTGTCTTAGAGTCTTTGATTTTGATTCACAAACTTTATATGGGGTAATGAAGAGTTACTTTGGTGGTTTAACTTGTGTATGTTGGAGTCCCGATGGCAAGTATATTGTTACAGGAGGCGAAGATGACTTAGTAACAGTATGGTCATTTTTTGAACGGCGGGTGATTGCCCGAGGGCAAGGACACCAATCTTGGATAAGCGTAGTCGCATTTGACCCATACACTACTAGTTTCAGTGGTGATGGGAGAGTGGACGAGAGTGACGAGGAAGACATTGAAGAAAATGGACCTAGAGACTCTCCTTGTCATCCCTCGGCAGACAAAGGTGTAACTTCGTATCGTTTTGGTTCTGTTGGCCATGACACCATGTTACTATTATGGGACTTAGGCGAAGATATTCTGAGGCCTCAACGGCCCAGATGCCGCAGTCTCAGAACTCACACAATGTCAAATTCTCATCTAGTTAACTCTAATTCTATTTCTAATGGACCTGTTTGCTGGGAACCCAACAACGGAGCCACTTCTAATGACACTTCCAGAAGCTTAACAAAAGTTCACAGCTTAAGCAAATCTGTCGAACAACTCGTTACCATCAGGGACTACTCCCCTGGCACTTCATTATGTCCAAGGATAGTAGAGGCTCCATTGCTTGAACCTCTAGTTGCTAAAAAGATTGCATACGAGAGGTTAACAGACATTGTATTTCGGGAAGACTGTATTGTGACAGCATGCCAGGAAGGATTCATTCGAACTTGGGCACGACCAGGTAAAGTGGTAAGTGTTTGCCAGGCAACTGCAAACATGCTCTCTTCTCACAAGCTTTGATTTGTCCATTATTTATTTATTTAGATTACAATGTTCTTTGTTATGGACAGACCCCATGTATGAGTATGCCCTTTTCATGTTGAGAGCAGGTCGAGACCACTCATATACACATACTTGAGAAGTTGAACAAGCTATTTTTTATTGTTGGTGTGTCTAAGTGGCTGTTATATCAACATGAGAAGACCCAGTTATGGGTGATAACAACTGTAAACCAGAATATTAGAATATTAAGAGGGGCAAACAGACATACTCATTTGCTCAAGGTTAGTCTCATTGCAAGGCCAACGGATGCTCAACTTCAAAAATACAGATCTTTACTGGAACTGAATAATCTATACAAAATAGAGACAACCCCTGAATAACAAATTCAAAACTTGGGTATTACCATTCTAATTTATTACATTCTTGTGAGAAAGAAGCCTGATTTTGAATTCTTTTTGTAATTGCCTGGTTTGAATAACTATGTGTACCCAGTTTGAATACCTCTGCTCACAGCTTTTCTATTCAATGTCCAATAGACTTTTTTACTGATTTGGCAGGCATCTCAAATTATGGGATGCTGAGGGGGGAAAGACATTGGAAATATATAAAGCATTAAGTGGTGGGGTTATGTTTTCAAAAGATTTGAAGTCCTCATGTTTTGCATATTGTTCCAACTACCAGCAAATTTAATTTCTTCTTAGATGTGCTTCTTGTTAAAAAGCGTAAAGTTATATAAAAAGACAGCTGTGTAGTCTATAAATTTTCCAATAGTTGGCCCCTTGGCATCCAATTATGTCTTATTAAAACAATAGAATTGAAGATGGCCGTCATATTGGTTATAAGGTCTATTCATAAGCTAAAACTAATTACCTTTTCTTTATTTTTTGTTGCAGGGCGTAGCGACAATGGGAACAGTAGTCTAATGGAGGATGATGAAGCAGAAGTATTATGCAATGGTGATCATGAGCATCCATCACAATATAGATAATCTTTTCAATTCATTGCTAATCCTAACGTACTTTATTAATAGACATTCCATTGTTAACACTGTTTTTCCCATAGCATTTCAAGTCAGACATGCATGCCATGATTTATAATAACACATTTTTGATCATTCAGTGCACTTACAATCATCAGAAATAAAAACACATTTTCGATTAAAGGGAAATGTACTGTATAGTACCATGACACTTAAATGGCTTCCACTCTAAGCCAATAAAAAAGCTGAAAATGAACACCATCCAATCACAATGTTTGAGTTTGAAACCATTTGAGTGTACCATAAAACATGAATGGCTTCTACTCAAAGCCGATCAAAAGGCTAAAAAAAAAACATCTTATCACAGTGTTTGAGTTCAGAAGCTATTTTTGCATACCATTTTAACACTTGAATTGCTTTTACTCTAAGCCAATCAAAAAGCTGAAAAATAAACACCATCCAATCACAGTGTATAAGTTGAGAAGCCATTTGAGTGTGGTCACACTGGTATTGTGCATCCAACCCCACCCAGCCCCCACATACACAATTTGTTATAAGCTCAAATCCACTTGGTAGCCATTTTAACAGTCATGCAGGCATGTCGTAGCCATGGCTAATATTAACTAGCATGCAACAAGCTATTCTACTGTGACCAAGCATATTTGTAATCATAATTTACGTATACATTGTTTGATCTGCATTTATGATAATATTTTATATTTTGTCACCTACACAAATAACAAAATAACCTAAAATAACATTGAAGGTACCAGTATTCAAAATTTTAATTGTAAATACACAATTGGTACTTGACGATGGTTAGCTCAGATGCACAGTGGATGGGAGTGTACAGGGTATTTGAACAAATTCAATTCACAGGATGTTAGGAAAATAATGAAAGCATTTGCTCAGAAAAAAACATTAAAGTGTACATATGCTGATAATGGTTGTTCATATTGATGATGTTTAGTATACATGGATATCTCTTAATTTTATCATACAAATTCTAATGGTTTCATGAGGCTGATGATCAAAAATATTTAGTGGCTAAGAAACCTGTTGCCCTCGTTCCATGATTAAAATGGGCTTTAGAAGTTGAATACTTCATAGAGAGGAGGGATGCATTTTTTATTTGTTCCGATCCAACCTGTACCCCTACTCCATTCCTATCTCCTTTTATCCAGCTTCCCACTCCTCCACTTCTTTCTCCCCCTCTCCCCTTTCTTTCTCCCTCCTCTCCCCTTCTTTCTCTATATAGGGTACCTCTCCTCTTTCCTTAACTAGAAAAGAAATGGTTTTCAAGGAATTAGTCAAAACAAAAGAATATTTTCTGTTCAAAAACTAGAAGTGGGTGAAAAAGAATAACGAAAATTTAATTGGCAAGAAAAATCAAGTACAAGTCAAACTGTCTTTATGTCTTCACCACCGTCTGTCTGTCCATGTTAACGACACGTCGACAACTAAACTACGCATGCGTTAAGACCATCCAAGATGGCGGCCAGCATGAGATCAAGACAAATCGGTAAAGTATCTTATTTTGGCTTCGTCTTTTCTTATAATTCTGTATAATACTTCGTGTTATTTATCAAATAAAGCAAGTATATGTGATGAAAATTGTGTTGGAGTAAGAGGAATAGAGAAGAAAGGGAACTTCTTATACGAGATTCTTCCATCCATTTGCTCTGATTCCATTTTTTACATAAAAATATCTCAACGCCAGAAATAAAATAATTTAGTTAGAAAGGCTCAAGAAACCTTTGAGATATAAGGAATTGATCAAGACATCAAAATATAAGTTTTAACTACGTATTTGTAGCTTCTGGAGCGATTCTTTTGGTGATGCATTCAACGATCTAATTTCTTGAGTGATTTCAATATAATTATAATGTAGGATATAAGAATGACATCAGCTTACGTTTGGAAATCTTGTGTGGAATTTCATTAGATGCCAAAACGAATTCCAGATAGTTTTAAGGACATGACAACAATGTTGTATGTAGTGATAGTGATGATAATAATAATAATGCAAATGCACATAGTGATTCTCAATCATTTATTTTCCTAAGCTCATTTTATCTGTTAATGGATTGATGGGTTGCAAGCATTCCCAAGAGTCAAAAGAAAAAAACAGAAAAAGACGTCTTTCACTTTGTAACATTTGATGTGATTGGTTTATTTCTGACCAATCAGATTATCACTTATATTACAATGGCCTGCTTGCAAGAACAGTTTATGAAGAACGTTTTGATTTTGTTAGCGATTTAAAATAACACAAAATAATTGGAATTTTATGGTTGTGAAAGTCGAGTCTCACAAGAAATGGTCAGCTTCGGGAATTATCCGGGAGATTTGAGACTCTAATCTGGAGACCGGGAGATACAGTCCAAAATCTGGAGACTCCCGGTTTATCCGGGAGAGTTGACAGCCCTGAATGAGAAATCTTTTGTTTAATGACACAATCACCCTCCCTCCCAGAGGCCACAATGATTAATGTGCAGTCGAAGAATAGTGCTAATTCAATATGTATTTTACTTGCAGAGGCCTTAAAGCGCATGTTGAATTTGAATCAACCTGTGAGCAAGTCTGTTGCAGCAGAGCCAGCATGGAAGGTACTGTATGTAACTTATGATAAACATACCAATGATCAGTAAGGGGTTGGGGTAAGGAATATTCCCCGGGGTGAAGGAACCTTTAGCTTCACGAAAATTGTTATGTTTATTCTGATGGAAAAACTTCCAACTGGTTTGGAGATTTCCAGAATTTGTGGTGGATGAAGAATAAGCTCTATTCTGATAAGGACTGCTATCTGGATAGGGATTTTTGCACTGGGATTACAGTACGTACCCTCCCCTTCATCAAGCATTTATCAATAGATTAATCATTAATTATTATTTTCATTTGCAGGTGCTTGTATATGACAGATATGGACAGGACATTATCTCACCATTATTAACAGTAAAGGATTTGCGGGACATGGGTGTCACTCTACATCTGTAAGTATTGGGTACCTTTTTTAAAAAATATTTTGTTTATAGGAAATAATGATAGATAATGAAGAAAGGAACAAAGAGGGAGACTGATTCCCCCAGGCATTTCACATTGGCAACAACAAGTCTTAGACAGGCATTTTCTGAGTTTGACAAACAAAGTGCATTCTGGTCTAGCTGGGGGGAAAACATCTTTTATTCATAATGCCTTATGCTGTGATTTTTGTACCCAAGCTAGACCAGAATGCACTTTGTTTGTCATACAATTTCAGAAAAGGTCTAATATTGTGAATTGTTTACAACCCTTCTATTCCTAATTCCTAATAAAATCCCTACTGTAATTAAAATCTCTAGGAGGTAAAGGTAAAAATGTAAAATGTAAATGTAAGAAATGTAAGGTTACCATCCTTTACATGCTCTTTGTAGCCTTTGCTATATTATATTCTTACAGTTTAATAATTTATTACTGTATATGAATCCATTCCAAGGTTGCTACACACAGACAGAGATCCCATACCAGAGGTCCCAGCTGTGTATTTTGTTATGCCGTCTGAAGAGAATGTCAAACAAATATGTCAGGTACACAAACTACTATTCAGAGATCTCTTGGAGGCTTTGTTATGTTATCAGTGCTGTGCCTTATGTTGATAGTAAAAACAAACTTGTATGTACGATCATTGAGGATCTCTTGCTTTGCTGGCAGTATACACAATCTGAGTGACACTCTTAAACAGTGTTCTAATATTAACCATTTTAAATCGAAGTAATGTTTAATAAACGAGCAGGAGTGTTTTATCGGGTATAAAACACGAGGCACAGCCAAGTGGTTTTAGACCCGATAAAACACGATCTGCGAGATTATTGAACGGCTTAGAAAACTCATGATGTTTGTTCTCATAGTGTACCGATTTCTTTACAAAATGAACCAAGTTAGATAGAGAAAATCCAAGTTAAAGTTTATGCAAATGAAGACAAATCTTTATCAGATATAAAATCACCTTCATGGTCATGATTTCTATTGTGTTTTCTTCATGAATTATTAATGAGTTTTCTAATTTCTTTTAAACCTGTAAACCTAAATAATCTGAACTTTTCATCTTTTACAATTTTACATACTAGTAATAATGATTTTGACTTTTCAGTAACGCGCTGGTTTTGATATTCAATCTCCAAATTCTCTTTTTGCATATTATCGTAAAAATATATCTTACTTATCAGGACCTTCTTGAAAATCACATTTATAAGTGAAGAAGCTTCCTGTTAAAATATGAATGTAAATAAATAAATAAATAAATACTGTTAAGGGTGATTTAGATGGTACGATTTTCTCCTACAACTATCGTATACAACACGCTTGCATCATGACACCTACGATTGTTGTAGCTTTTTTAAAACATATTTTAAAATCCTACAACTTTTTTCGTGTTGTACGCGTCTGTTGTAGGCGAGTTGTAGGCTTGATTTACACGCTACGACTCAAGTTGTAGGATGGTGCGAGCGTGTTGTATACGATTAGTTGTAGGCAAAAATCGTACTGTCTAAACCGGCCTTTTTTAAGAGCAAAAATGTCTCAGTTTCTGTCGTAGTTCTATTGTTTGTTAACTGTATTAAATTTATGTTTTTTCTTACAGGACTGTAGAAATCAGCTGTATGAGTCATACTACCTCAATTTTATCACTGCTATAACAAGACAAAGACTTGAAGAAGTAGCAACGGTGGCAGTCCAAACAAACTGTGTTACACAAATATCAAAGGTACTCAATACCTCATTTGCTTCCTCCACTAAATCTAAAAACAAAGGCATAGCTAGGGGGACGACTCCCAAAAGTTTGACTAAAGATTGTAAATTTTCTTTCTTTTCTATTTTACTGGGCTACCAGTGATTTGGTGGGAATTTTTGTCTTAAGACATCCTCCTAGATGTGTGTTCACCCCTTGTGCTCACCTCTGGTACTCTCTTTATGCCTCTGCTACTGAAATTCCACAATAATTCTGTGATTTAGTGCACTAACTTAGAGAGAACAGTATCATATTGTTAACAAGCTGCTTTGGATGTGTCTTTTAGGTTTATGATCAATACTTGAATTTTATTTCACTGGAGGATGAGATGTTCACTACAAGGTTTCAAGACAGAGACTCTCTATCCTATTATGGTGGGTTCTTAAAATATCAATATATCATGGGGAAATCCAGGGATCAGATGGATTGGGCATTGGGCGAGGAAATAACAACCCCACTCCATAGCAAAGAGTAATGAGAAATTTTTATAGCATAGGCATGCTTACTCCCCTTGAAAATATCCAGGATCTGCTCTACTGAATCCATAAGCAGGTCTACTCCTTCATTAAATACTATAATGTAGAATATGCTTGGAGTAAGAGGGGTATATGAAAGCATGTGCACTTAATTGCTTTCCTTTTCTTAAAATTCCCAGCCATTAACAGACCAGATGCTAAAGACACAGACATAGAAAACCTTAGAGATTCTATTGTGGACAGCTTATTTTGTCTGCTAGCTTCACTAGGTAAGCCAATCACTATTATTGACATTTTAATTAATATATACATGTGTAGTTGACAATGTTTTTTCTCCTCTGGGTTTTAAGGTACGGTTCCAATTATCCGATGTCCTAAGGGCAATGCAGCTGAGATGGTAGCCGAGGTACGGTAATCTTTTTAAATGCAATCTGCAATCATGCATGCAGTCTATACTTTAAGTGTTTGTCTGCGTACCTCACAGTGTACCTAATCTAGAGGGCTAACAAGAGCATACAGTATATCTAAACTTTGTCAGCAAAACCTTGAGCCTTGACAGGGCTTAAAATAACAGCTGATAAGTCACTGGTGATGATCACGGGTCAAATTGGTTTACACTTAGCCATACCTCATTTCTGGCTAAATGTTACAGGCTAAAATGAACAGCAAGGCAAAGATAATTTGACTGGACAAGACCAAGTTCTGGCTGGACATTGTCTGATGTACGGCTGTTATTTTAATCCCTGCCCTGACTTCATTTCTGAAGAGTTCTCTACTGGCCACTAGGGCCTGGACACGAGTTAGATACCGCTGACCGGCTCAGTAGGAGCGGCCATCTTGTTTACGTTAAGATTACGTTTTAGGACAGAACTATAATACAAGACTATTCAGCACCAGTATATCTTTATTTATGTAAGTTTTCCATTTATTATATGTGTAAT